CTCCAGTCTGAGAGGGAATAACGTTTCTGTTGTTCTAAGTCACCCGCTTGTGGTAATTTGCTAGGGCAGCCCTCGAAAACTAACAGAACTCCAGGTATTTTTAATGCTTTTGCAGTCACTCCATCATTGCCTCCCCGAGCCAGCAATAAACACTTACGGAACACCTAGGAAGTTGCCCTGTCCGGAGAAAAATTGGTACCATCTACATGATCTTCAGCATTCCCTACTAAGCTACTGCCTCACACACAGTAGGCGTTTCATAAATCTTTACTGGCAGGTTGACAAAATAACAGACATAAAAATGGTATACTGTTATACAAATCTAAGGTACTGTGAGCCGACTTTTGACTTCTGTGTATGCCTTTGTACTCTAAATGTATTTATACATTTTACGTACTGAAGAATCACAAAACTCGGAACTATAAGGGCTGCAGCCCGAGGTCTCCTGCGGTCCACGGCCTCCTCATTAACGACCTGCAGGGGTTTTGAATTAGGAGGAAAGTGTTGACACCGAGAAGGAATGTACCTGTCAAAAAGGCCTCCTTGTGGTCAACTGGGTCCAAATTCATAACAGAGTCCGGCAGCCATTGTTCGCAGAAGCTCTCCCGCACGAGGCCGCAGGCGGACGCCATGCCTTCCGGCTGCATTCCCGCCGTCTGCAAGGCCTCAGGAAGGAGTTCCCGGAATTAGCATTTCAACCAATGGGCTGAGACGTCTCCGCCCAGTCAGATGTGCAGCTGTGTCCTTATTTGTGATCTTACCTGCCAATCAGAGAGGCTCCATAACAACCAATCAAAACGTGCCATCTTGTTGTCAGGTGAAACTTTTTACTCCTTATTTGCATAAAAACGGACCAGTCAGAATCAGGCAGGTACTTTTAAAAAGGCAGCCTCACCTTTGTCTCAGATTGTAAATTGCATGAGCGCAGGGCTTCGTCTCCCTCGCATTTTATGCCCCGCCCCAACCCCCAGGCTGCTTCTCCCTTAGAGGCTGCATTGCATTCTCCCCTGCTTTGCTGTTTGCAAACTACCTGAATAAAGACTCCCACCCCACCTCACTCACACCCCAAATTGGGGACTCCTGCTGGCATTGGGTTGGTGGCAGAGACCTTTTGTTGAAAAAAGCAATCTGAATACCCTCCGGATTCTGAATCCTACAAGGCAAAGCGGACCTCTTTCTTGCTGGGTCCTCCCACGCTCAAGAATGGTCAGGAGGGAGTCCTGGGAGTCAGGGGAGCTGCCGATTGCTATACAGGAAGTAAGCCACAGAGCACTAGGCCTGGGAGTAGCTACAAAGGGAAGGAGGGAAGGAAGGAGGGGCTGATTCTCTAGGACAACTGAGAGTGACTCAGAGGCTGTAGAAAATAGCCTGTTCTCCCACATCTACCTCATTGTCAGGCATGAGGCACTTCCTCATTGCACACCCATAGGCAGGGGGAAAGGGAGGAGGAAGAAATGGGATTTTTCTATTTCATGGGCCTATTCCAGTACCTGAACTCTGTGTTTGTAGCCATTTCAGATATTTTGTTTCAAGTCAGGTCACTATTTATTGAGCACCTACTATGTGCCGGCTCTTCATCTTGCTTTTCAAATGTCAGCCTCCTGGACACAGGGAATGATGCCTTCCCGTACTTCCTCCTTCATTACCTGAAAGGCACTTGGGCTGCTGTTGAGCTCCTCACTACAACTGCCCCGCTCAAGCCTGCAATCAACAAGGGGAGGCAGGGATCTTTTTTCCCCGGCTCTAATGCTGATTTTACAGTCACACAGGCCCATTCTCTGGAGCTGTCCTGGTGACAGCCAGCGTGAGCTGAACAGAATGTGGCACAAGTTTGGAGTTGTTGGAAGTTCTTTCTTTCCTACTTACTAGCTCTATTGAAGTATGGTAGCAATCATCTCAGGTAGACACTGTAGTTTAACTTTAACCCTGCTGTTTGGCTTCTGCACTTATTTGCTTTGTTTAACAATAGAAAAGTTACTTTGATTTTCTGAATTGTATAAATCATCCCATTCGATTAAATGCCTTATTGATTATAATGTGAATATCCCATGGGTTGGGATCATACTGGTCTCAGAAAGCACATTCTTATGTACCTGGGAAGGACAGCACAATTATCCGAAATTGCTTCATTCCAGACCCGAGGGCTCTAGATAATGTGTTTCTGTCAATTCCAGAGACCCGAAACTATAATTAACATGCTGCTTCTGCTTCTGTAAACTGCTTTTTTGCAAACCAGGTTCCTCATTCCAAACCTTGAGATGTAATCAATACCTTTTGATCTTTGCCTATATACAGTGGGGCCTTGACTTACGAGTTTAATTTGTTCTGTGACGGAGCTTGTAACTCAAATGACTCATATGTCAAATCATTAAAGTGAAGGAGTGAGACACATGATGCTGGGCTGATGTTGTGGCATTCACTGTGACGTTCGCTGCGCCAACTAGCGGTGGGGTATCTGAAGCTGGCTCGGAACCCGAATTTTAGCTCACAACTCAAAGCAAAAAATCGACCAAGAGATGGCTCGTATCTCGAAAAACTCGTTAGTCAGGACACTCGTAAGTCAAGGCCCCACTGTAAGTCTGGCTTTGCCACCATCTTATCACTATGAGATTTGGGAAAGCAAAATGGCCCCTCATAGTCCCGGATTGCAATAAATATGACTCTTTAATTCGACTTCTTGAGGCGTCCTTCTGTGATTTGCAGGGTACATTACAACACTATGACTTTGTTTTCTCTAAATCTCCAACTTCTCATCTGTAAAATGGGCACAAAGATGTCTATCTTACAAGTTAGGAAATATGTTATATAGTAGTGAGGATTAAATAAGATGACATTATATAAAAGTACCTGGCACAGTGATAACATAAAACTGGTTTACTTCCTCCCAACTTCCCCATGATTGAACACACCGACCACACCCCTCCAGACTGTAAATTGCATAAGGGCAGGGCTTCATCTGCCTTGAGGACTGTCTGCCTAGGTGAGCACTAGGCTCTAATACTATCCTGCTTAGTAATTAAGATTAGGAATAATGTATTAAAATTAGTACACTATTTATGCATTATATTCAATAGTATTATAAGTATCTAATGGGATGCATTTTAAAATAACGTGGTTAATCATTTAACTCGCTGAATGAATCTTGTGAACTGTAAAAGGAATCCAGAAACCTTGACCTCACGTAGGGATGTTTCCTCTCCCCTCTCTGAGCTTTTTGGTCCTGGTAGGACTTGGTGCCACCAGCAAGATCTTCATTTCTGTGTTCACAAGAAGGGACAGACATTCTTTGCATCCTCTACATTGTCCTTTGTTCCAGCTTCACTGTAAACGCCACTGCCCATCGTATAAGGGAGCCAGGGACACACAAAGAGTCCCCGCACTTGGCAACCATAGCGTGAAAAACCTTGACACACAAATCTGTAATTATTCATTCGACTTCTACCTGGAAGGCAAGCTGGGCTGGGTTTATGCTCTCCTGGGCACCACCAGCGTCCCCACGCCAGGGGCCCCAGGGATAGTATTCTCTATCAAATGTAATGTGAAAAGATAAAGGGGGAAGGTGTCGGGTTTTTTGTTTTTCTTTTTATCTTTGCGCCCTGGCTTCTAGCACCACACCCAGAAGCTCGTCCAAGAAAAAAAAAGAGAGAGAGAGCACGAAAGACACGTTACCAGATTTTCAACAACTAATTCTGAAGCAGGCACCAAAGCACACTTCCAACGTTAATGGGCCAATCAGGGCACCCGCCATTCCTGAGCTTCCAGGACCAGGAGGGTAAAGCACGAAGCACTCGCCCGGGTCCTGCCCAGGAAACCGCACCGAAGGTGGAAAGTTGCAGGCGCCGGGCTCGGGCAGGAGCAGGGCAACGCTTCCTGCCGGAAGTGACGCGACCTCAATCCCAGTTCGTCTCTTCCCAAACAAAAGGGATCTTGGGGCCCCAGGAGGAGCCTCAATGACATTGGAGGAGCCCCGCCTCCAGCGGGCGCGGATTGGTGCAGGGGCTGGAGAGGCGAGGTGGTGATTGGCCCTGGTGAATGCCAGTGCCCGCCTGGCGGCTGAGGGGCGGGGCCTCAGTGGGCTGTGGATGCGAGCGGGTGGCAGAGGCGGCGGCGGCTGGGAGTGGACCCGAAGCGCCGGGAAAGAAAAGGTAGGAGCTGCTAGGGCTGGGGCTTGGCGGAGGTCGGGGGGCCGTGTTCCCGAGAAAAAAGCAAGGGTCGGACCTCCGGGATCCTCCCGCCAGCGTCCCAACTGCCACTCGCGCCCATCCCCGGAGGGGGCGGGGCCGTCTGTCCACCTCCCGGTATTCCCCGAGGAGGCGGCTCCTCATCCTTCGAGGGTCCTCGCAACTATTCATTGTCCCCGTCAATCCCAGCTCCGCAGAAGAGGCTCCCCTCCAGACACCCCTCATTTAAAGGCCTCCTTCGACCAGCGCCTCAACCCTGGGGGCGGGCGCACGGGTTCCCATTCTCTAGGCTGCCGCCCTCACTCCCATTTTGTCCCCCCCGGGAGGCCAGACAGCCCTCCCTACACCTGCCCCTGCTCGCTAAAGTGGCACCAGAGCTGGTTTCATCCATAAAGGAAAAAAAAATCAGTGTTTTCCAAAAAAAGAGGGATGGGTCGAAGCAAAAATCACAGACCCGACCCAGCAGCCAGCTCCACGGAGGAAGCGGCCCTCCCCTCGGTTCTCCCATCCCCCACGCGCTGACCCCCAGCCTCCCTCCCGAAGCCCCCCGGACCCACTGTTCTCCCGGGGGTCCAGAGCTCACCCGCTGAGGGACTTTTTGAGACTCTGGAGGAAGGAGAAATAGTAACTCTCCACCCCCACATCCCCTTTGTATCTTCCCTCTTTCTTGAGGGAGAACCCAACTTCTAAGGGCTTTTTAGGTTTGAGTTGCGTTTCATTTTTGCTTTCCAGCCTGTTTCTTCCCTGAAAACTTGGGGGAAACCACCCTGTATGTTTCAGTGAGACGGTGGGCTGGATCTCTGCAGAGTTGGCCTCGCTGGGGAGGAGCCGGCGTGTATTGTCTGACTGTCAGTGAATAGAGCGTGCTGTCCGAGGCAGCCAGCCGGGTTGATGAGGCATCAAGCGCGCTAGGTTAGGGAAGAGTATCTCCCCCGGTCTAGGGCGGGCTGGTGTGCCGCTCAGGGAGACTGCAGTTCACCTTGAAGGTATGGTTCTGTTGAAACAAAAGGCAGGAAGTGTTTGAAGAAATTCAGGTTCAGTCGTCTAGGTTTATGATTAATCTGGTCCCGTGGCCTTTGGTTACTCCTATAGCCCCTCTTTCAGGGGGGGGGGGGGGGGGGGGGGAAGGGGGGGGGGGGGGGGTTTCCCTCCAGGTGAAAAACTGATAAATGATGTTATTGTTTTTACAAATCCAGTATCACCTACCCACATTTAGGGGATGAAAAGAGCGAGCACGTTTTAAGTCTCAGAAATGAGGACACAGGAAAACATAGTTAACTCCAGCTATTGTCTTGCGTGTGTAACCCCCACACAGTGTCTCTCTATTGTGTGCTCATAAAGGCTTTGTCAAGATGACCTTCATTTCAGCAAAATATTGAAGATCTTGGCCTAATGTGAACGCCATTGAATCCTCAGTAATCATCCATGGCTAGCACTTCCATATATTAAAATTTGCCATATTTTTAGGTTGTTTCTTCTGCTTTCAGCCCCCAGTCCATCTTACTACTGCTACCTAGAGCTAAAGCTAACAGCAGTGAGATGCAAGGAGCTGGAATCGCAGAGGGTGATTAGAAAGGCTGTCTTTTACCTTCCTGATTAAACTTTCTAAAAGTAGACTTCCTGAAGGTAATTACTTTTGAATAGTTAGGTTCCAAGTTTTCAGAGCCACTCTCAGTGATTGTTTCCAGATCGCCAATAAAAAGGCACAAAGAAGAAACTGTGGAGGGTCTGTCTCTCCAGCAAACACACAGTGTGCTGCACTAGGAGGGCCCCCAGCAATAGCAGCAGGAAAAAAACTAAAGGCAGAACAGGAAATCCCAAAAAGATAGATCTTATTACATGAGCAGAGAACAGAAAATAAACTAAGGTAAGAGACTCAGGAAGCCAAAGTTAGTGGTGATTGCCAGGGCCTTAATGAGCAGAGAGGAAAAAGCAAATCATGCAAGACCAGTTTGATACAGGTTTGGGTCTTGGAAATTTTCAACACTGATTTGGTCATAGTAGATGAAGAAAAGCATTGTATGTCTAATCTGTCTCATTAATTTATAAATTCTTGGAGCAGGTAGTAGTGTGTGTGTGTGGTCTTTGTATCTCTCACAGTGCCTGGTATATAGTTTGACTTAATGAGTGTGAAACTTAGTTTGAAGCTATCAGCTTAGGGTAGTCTAGAAAGGTCATGTACTGATAAGATATGACACATCTTGTTAGTATAAACAATCCACTTTTTGTCTTAATTGAACTTTATTTTCCTTATCTGATGTCTTATGAAACTCCAGTATCTTAACTCTCAAATACTGAATTTCTTATTAGAAACTAGCTGCTGGTTAGATATAATTTTGCTGGGATGAAATCTGAACCAGAAATATTAATGTCCTCAGTGCTAGTCCTTTTAGGATTTTATTTCCCTAAGAATCTGACCCCAAAGGAATGAAGGGAATGTAGGGGAACACACTAGGAACTGATGGCTGATTTATATTTAAGAGTGGTTTCTGAGTATTTGGTTTCTACAACTTACTGACCTACTTTGGGATTTTTTTTGTAATGGATTTTTAGTTGATCTTATGTTTTTCTGAACTGGCACTAAGTAAGGGAACAGGGACACAAACAATATCGGGGTCCCTGAATGGAGTCATCAGACGGATCATGGTGCCTAAAGCGCTCAGTCCTCAGAGGGTTTGTATTTTGGCAGACTGTTTGCAGAGCTACCAGGGAACTAGCAGAACAGGACTGGAATTCTTGCCTTGTCTCAGTGGAACAGAACGGTGTTCCTAAAGGTTGCCATTGAATGGTGTTGGTGGCATGAGATAAGAAGCAGAGATTTCTTTCCATTGGAAATTGGTCTGTTGGGTGACCCTAGGAATGGCTTGTTAGCCTGTTTCTAAAGACCATTTTTTTTCTTTTCCTGAATGTTTGCTGCCAACAGCTTCTGTGAGATTTAAGGGCTTTTCAATGGTAATTTTGATTAAAAATGATTTTTGCCTTTTGAAGACAACTCCCCCGGGGCCCCCAAAGTAAGGAGCAATCATTAGACCAAAACGTGTGAGAAGAAACCACATGGAGGAGATAGGAGTGGAGGTGGGGGAGGAAACCAGGACTGCATGGAGGCATGGGTGTCAAGAATGCGGTAGATGGTTCCTCCCTGCCCAGTGTTTCCCAACTGCATTTCAGGTACAAAGCCAACGCTTCCAATGTAAATGTGCCCTTTGCTGCTAAAGGAATCCTCTCTGGCTTCTGGAACCACTAAGAACGAAATCCTTAATTGTTACTATCGTTACTGAGTTTAAAGACTATAATCCTTAATTGTTACGGAGTTCAATATAAACCAGAAAGACAGAGCACAGGATGAGGGGATTTGCGACAAAAAAGACTCCTGACCCTGAACCTGAGAGCATCTGCTTAGACCAGCCGTGGGCGAACTACGGCCCGCGGGCCAGATCCGGCCCGTTTAAAATGAATAAAACTATTGAAAAAAAAGACCATACCCTTTTATGTAATGATGTTTACTTTGAATTTATATTAGTTCACACAAACACTCCATCCATGCTGTTGTTCCGGCCCTTCGGTCCAGTTTAAGAACCCACTGTGGCCCTCGAGTCAAAAAGTTTGCCCACCCCTGGCTTAGACTGAGCCTTTGTGGAAAGCAGCTGGGGAAGGCTTGGCTAGGTGTCTCTGGGCCGCTCTCCTTGGGAGGTGAGAGCCAGGAGGAGGAGAAGAGGGGACAGGGGAAGAAATGGGGATGAATTTTCTTAACAAGATATAAGAACTATCGCCGAACCGGTTTGGCTCAGTGGATAGAGCATTGGCCTGCGGACTTGGGAGTCCTAGGTTCGATTCCGGTCAAAGGCATGTAACTTGGTTGCGGGCACATCCCCACTGGGGGGCATGCAGGAGGCAGCTGATCGATCTCTCTCATCGATGTTTCTGGCTCTCTGTCCCTCTCCCTTCTTCTCTGTAAAAAATCAATAACATATATATTTTTTAAAAAAAAGATATAAGAACTATCTATATTAGCAGTCGCCAACCGGTGGTGCACGGACCACTGGTGGTCTGTGAAATCCGAAAGATTGGTGACTGCTGATCTATATATATAAAAGACTAATATGCTAAGTGTCCGTCTGACTGGTAGCTATGACGTGCACTGACCACCAAGGGGGCAGGTGCTCAACACAGGAGCTGCCGAGCTGCAGTGACTTGTCAGCAGCAGTTCTCGGGTGATGGACCCAGAAACCAGAGAGGAGGGAGCCCGATTCCTCGTGGAGCTGCGCGATTCCACCTTTGGCCGTGGGTTATGTTGTTGCTGGGGCACTGTCAGCCCGAATCTGGTAACTGCATGCTTGCATTTGCATTCCACACCCTGTGTGACAGAAGTTTTACAGAGTGCCCTATCGCACTCTGGGACCCCTCGGGGGGTGTCAAAAAGCCTGTTTCTGCCCAATGCCCTCAGGCCAGGCTGAGGGACCCCCACCTGCTGGTGGGACCCCCGCTCACTCCGCAGACACCCTTCGAGCCACGGCGCCACCCCAGGTGCAGCCAGCCGGGGAGGGACCAAAGGAGGTTGGCTCCAGGGCGTGTTGGGCCCGTCTTGCCCAGACCCGCCCCACCAGCCACCTTCTAATTAATTTCCCTGCACACGTCACTAGTAAGTTATAAAGGAGAGAGAAAAGACAGTAACTGACAAGTTAA